GGATGGATGGATGGATGGATGGATGGATGGATGGATGGATGGATGGACAGATAGCTATATATATGTATATGTGGATATATAGATATATCTATCTATCTCTGTCTATAGCTTCCCCTAAAGTTCTACTGCAGGACTTCATCATGAAATGAAAATAATGTGAAGTTTTCAAAAGTTAGTCCAGCAAAATACAAGCTCTGTCAACTCCTACCAAGCTAGGAAGTCCTGGAAACTTAAACTATGGCAGAGAGACTAGGGCTCTGTCCCAGGGCACTGAGATGCAGAGGGAACATATATCTCACACATGCACTCTTACATCTGCAGCCTCTATAGTGACTAATTTCCCTTCTTTCAGCTGAATTTATTTTTCTTACATCTTGTATTCTTTTCATATCATGAATTACAAAGTTGATTTGAGGGCCATCTGTGCTGCTTGTCCTGCTGCCTAGCACATGTCTCTCATATGGGGACCAGCTTATCTAAGTTCAGAGAAGTTCACCATCACAAGTATGGCCACCAGGTGATGAATTTCCTTGACTACAAAAAACAATAAATTTAAAGAAGGTAGAAAGATTGTAATCTGCATCATTGGAGGGAATCCCTCTACCACTGAAATCAAAGCTTTCTTGAAATAGTGAAGTACTGACATATTTATGATCTGCTGTCCTTATTGTTTAGCATTTGTTAAATCCTGATCATGTGTCCTTTGATATACAGAACAACCCACTACCCCCACCACCACATCAAACAGTATCTCTTCGTCCCATGGTTCAAATCCTAAAGGAAGTGAGCTGTCCACAACCTCAGAGTAAACCTAGAAATAAAACCTACTCAAGATACAAAGATCATGATGGAGAAGCATATTCTGATAAAGATACTATAAGTTACTGCTGGAAGATGAGGCCTTCACATCAGAATCATTCCCTCCATGTCACTATTTCTGAAACAAATTTCATGGTTCTCTGCTTAGAGTTCACCTCGCTGTCAAAATGTGTTATGATTTGTATCCCCTGGGGTACTTGACATTACCTCTAACCCCTTACTCTGCAATCTCAGATGCTCTAAGAAATTGAAATATTGGCCGTCCTTCTCTACTAGTCTTTGAGGACAGTAAGCAGTGAAGATGAAATGTCTTCTTAAAATTCTAGAGAAAAACATTTTAAGGGAATTAATCTTAGTTCAGTCTCAGCTGTGGCTATTGGGACTTTTGCCAGTGAGGCCTGATGCCATGCTTTTTTTTTTTTTAAATTCGGTCATTTAGTTTTATAAGCAGTTTCTAACATCTCAGAAGAATTGAAAAGGTATGTGTCTTTTTTATCATCCACAGATCTAAAAAGTCATGAGAATGCTATACAATAGATGGTCAGCTTCTTTTATTCTGGGAGATAAATGGAATGAATGAATGAGTATTTAAGTGCTTACTATGTGTCAAGCTCTATGCTAAGCTCTGGGGATACAAATACAAAAGCTTTCATTCTAATAAGAGAATACAGCATAAAAGTATATAAGGGAGTGGTCACCATGGATGGATATTTTGGTCTAAAAAGTACCAGAGGTGATATGTGGAACTATAGGACAGTTAATTAACAGGACCTTTCCAGAAGAATGTTCAAAACTGGAAGCTCTGAGTTCTATTAAATTCAGCAAACATTAATTAAAGAACTGTTGTTTGTAAGGCCATATCCTAGGTGCTAGAGATAGAAAAATGAAAAATGACAATAGTCCTTTTCCCTTGAGGAGCTTACAGTATAATGGAAGGATAAGAAATGTACACAAATTGCTGTTACACTAAGCATAAGGGCAAGGGAAAGGTCAACACAAGAGCTATACAAATTTGAGGAGCTGGAGAAATGAGTGATAACTGCGGGATTTGGGGATAGTAGATGATACTGAAGAGAGAAAATACAGGTAGATGGCTATCCCTCTTTCTCTAAAAGGGGACTGTACACCCTTTATTCTAGGGAATCCTCTCATTGCCAGACTTGTCGGCAATCTGTAAGAAAGGTGACACGGTCAGATTTACAGAGTTACTTGTGACATTTTGGTTTTGAGGGCCTTCTCTTTCAACATGAAAACTGTCTTTCTGTCAGAAAGCATGATTGCTCTTTCTCTGCGTCTGACTTTGAGGGAAGGCATGTGATTAGAAATTCCGTTTCTGTCAGAACCAGATTCACTTTAGTTTGATTGCTTATTGGAAACTGAAGTTAAATGATAGAAGGCAGAGAGATTGGTTAATATAGTCTCAGTCCTCAAATGATTGCCACCCCCTCCCATTGGCTGGTCCTTCCCCATAACACTCGTCTCTAGGAATTCCTTCCCTCTCATTGGCCAGTGACCTCTACACATATTTACACAAGCGTGTGGATGTTTGTTAACCTCGAACTATTTCCCATCCCAATATTATTGTTGTTGTTCATAATAAATAAGAGAAAGGACTGTGTGTTCGATTTGTATCTCTACCTAGCATAATACCTAGCATAGCATAGTCACTTAATGTGTTTTGAATTGGAGAAGGAAGAGAAGGAGAACAATTTAATCAATCAACAAGGCACTAACCTAAGACCTGGAGATGGAAACACAAAAGTGAAAGCCTTTTCCCTCAGAGAGTTTGCTGTACCTTTGTAGAGCATCTTGCAATTTCTATTCCAAAAAATATAAGCTCCTTGAGGGCAGGGACTGTTTCGGTAATGTTGGTGTATCTCCAGTGTCTAGCATAGTTCTTGTACTTTGGAGGGGGCTAGGGAGGGGTGAGGAAGGTGCCTTAGATTGGAACTTGTGAGTTTGCTGGTGTATGGAACTCATGCTCTTAGAAATTAGCACTCCCCTGCACTTTATAGCCTTAAATTGCCAGGGGCTCTGAAAATTGGACTGTGAGGTGTTCAGGGTCACACTGCCCGTGTGTGTCTAGTGGTGGGACTTGAAACTAGGTCTACCCAACAAGGCTAGTGTTCTATTCATTATACTAAGCTGTCTCCTACTTTTTCACATAGTAGATGCCTAATAAATGCGGATTTAAACTTATAAAGCATTCTTATTGATGTACGTTATTTCAGCTGATCCTCACAATAATCCCTTGAGGTGGGTAGAAATGTTATTTTTCCATCCTACAGATGAAGAACCTAAGGGTCATAGTGGCTAAGGAACTTACTCAAGGTCACATAGTTATCACATGCTAGAGCTGGGACTAAAATTGCCTTCCTTCTGAGATTACCTCCTCTTTACACTGTACCTCTCCTATATGTACATAGTTACTTGAATGCAGTCTCCTCCATCAGAATATAAGCTTCTTGAAGGCAGAAACTGTTTTTGCCTTTCTTTGTGCACTTAGCACATAGTGAGCACTTAATAAATACTTATTGATTTGACTTACTGGCCTGGGTCTACTGATTCCATACCCAGCAACCTTTTCATAGTATCATGCTGTAGGTGATAGGTGGCATTTGATTTCCCCCTTTCCTAGCTGCTGAGCTAAAACCACTATTTACAGGTTCAGAAATAAAAGAAGAAAATGCCTTCTAAACCCAAGTGAGGACTCAGATAGTACTGTCAGCTTAATGTATAGTTATCTCTTCTACATTGTGACTTTCCCCATCACAGTGTCGATATATTGCAGGTTGACATAAGAAATTAAATGGGAATTTTTGGGGAATTTTGCAGAAGCTGCAGATGGCATGCCAGCAGACAACACAGAAAAAGTTTAGAAACTCAGAAATGCATAAAATATATGTATAGTATTGTATAATATCAACCTATTTTATCTTTTAATGCCATAATAATTCGGACTTTTATGGTATGAAGGGAAGGCCAAAAAATTTCATGCAGATTTTCCAGATTGAGGGGGCACCGCACGCTGACTTCCGTGATATGGAAGAGATAGCTGTACGCTGTGCTCTGTGCCTGCAGACAAGGACCTGAACAGTTAATTGCCAGCGTTTCATGGCTGAGTGATTTTTTTGTGCTTTTTGCCTCATTGGTTTACAGTGTATGTAACACCATAATTGAACTCTGAGTTGAACTTGAATGAATGAAAGGGAAAGGCTTGTTAATGAGGAATAGATTCTTGATGGTGCTTCCAGCTGCAGAGGAGGCAAAGGAAGGGGAGGGCGATGAGGAGGGGCCGCTAGAGGGTGTAGGCTACTCATGGTTTGCCTTCCTAATCCCAAACTGAATAGCTAGCCCTGGAAGAAGTGGTGATAAGGGTTTATACCTCTTCCTACAGACACCCTCTGGGTGCATTCCAGGCCCAGAAGGACTGTGTCAGGATTGGGGTAGAGAGTTAGTCCTATGACATTCATTTACAATGTCTATAGGATCATAGATCTGAAACAGGAAGGAAACAAAGAAGTCATCTAGTCCAATCACCTGAAAAGAGCCCAAAAGCTTCACCAGATTGCCAGAGGGGTCCATGACACACACAAAAATTAAGACCTAGACCGAGGCAAGAGTTATAGTGGGAAGGGTGAAGCAAACTAGTGGTGAGGTATAGGAAGGTTCTCTTCTGTCCACACCTAGGAGAAAACATTGCTGATTCTCTCTCCCATGTGCAAAGAAGAAATTTTTACCCATGTCTTAATGCAAATGTAATCAGACTCTACTAAGAATTCCTCTCATTTTCTCCCTAGGTGCCAGTCTACTGGATGACTTAAAGCGGTATTTCTCTTTCCATCATTCCCAAGGAGATACCATGACAGCACTGGATCCCATGCAGATGAATTACTCAGCCGCCGTTTGGGCTGTTGTCTCCTATGTCATTGCTGACCTAGATGAGATGTTGCCCAGGTAATCAGGAGAACAAGGAAGAAGGCACATTCTTTCCAGAATCCAGTATTCCACAGTGGCAAGAGCCCTCTTTTGTGTCCAATAGGTTGATTTGGTTTTTGTTCCTTGACTTCAAAACACACTTTTATCTTCTGGCGCAATGTTTCTCAACTCCTTCCTCATTCTCTCATTTTAATAGCAACACTAAAATCTTTTATTGCCAGTGTTTTATTGTTGTTCAAGTATAGCATTTTCTTACAGTTATAAGGAAAATTGTTTCCTTGATGAGAGTAAATACTTGAATAAATCTGTTCCTTTTGCAAAAATAATATGCACTGTGCGTTTGTTCAAGGGGATTCTGTTTTGTGTTTTAGGATTAGATGGGAAAGGTACTGCACAATTCTGACACTCTAATCGTAAGAACACATTCAAGATATGCTCACCTTCAAAAAAATACAATTTGATCAAGTTATAGGCAACTTTCCTGCCTGACTTCCAAGAAATTAAAACTAGAATCCACTATTTGAAATCTCACTCCTGAGAATCTCAGCATAGCAACAAATCAATCAATTAAGAAGCCTTTATTTAATAGCTATTATGTACCAGGCACTGTGCTAGGCACTGGGGTTATAAGTACAAAGAATGGTACAACTCCCTACTCACAACTGAACCACACAGAAAAGAATCAGAGAATTACATTACCTCTAGAATTTTAAGGGATCTCAAAGGGCATCCAGCCCGAATCATTTTTGCACAAAAATCCTCTCTTTAGTGTCCCCAATAGCGGCCATCCAGCTTTTGCTTAAATGCAGGGAACCTCCTGCTTCTGGAGGCACCCATTTTTCCTTGGGCTAGCTTTAATTGTGAGGTTGTTGTGAGGATCAAATGAGATAATATTTGTAAAGCAACAGCATAATGCCCAATACGTAACAGGTGCTTACTAAATGCTTATTCCCTTCCCCGATATGAATCCTCAGTCGGCCTCTCTCAAGCTTTCCCTCATTGTTCCTAACTCTGCTCCCTTAGGCCAAATAGAACAAAGCTGATCCCCGCCACCACAGCTGCCAAAGTGATATTCCTGTAGCATGGTTCTGACCTTGACCCTCCCCTCCTCAAAAAACTCTTGCTTCTAGAGTCGATTACAGACTCTGCTTTATTAGGCTTTTAAAGTCCTTCACAATCCAATTCCAGGCTAATTGCGCACTAATCTCCTTCATGCACTCAGTGTTCCAAACAAACTGGCCTGTGTGCTGTTCCTTGGACATGTGATTCTGTGACTCTGGATACACTGTCTCCAATGCCTGGAATGTAGTCTTCCTTCACTGTACTTCATAGAGTGTTCAGCTTCCTTCAATGCCCAACTTAAATATCATATCTGACTGTACAAGGAGCTTATCTTGAGGCACAGCTGCTCACCCTCACCCCAGAAATTAATTGCATATAGAGAAGGGGTTTCATCCCATGGAACATATGCAAAGCTCCCCTGACAACTTTTGAGACATGCATGGCTCATCATTGAAGGGTCTGACCTTTAAGATGACCAAGCAATCCCTTTACTGACCACCGACTAGAAAGAGCTTGGTGGACATTAGAAAGGAGTGACTTCCCTTCTGCTTCACTCTCTCTCTCTGCCTTCTGATCACGTGAAGATTATTTGAACCTCTCCCTAGAGGTGTAGAAAAAGGGGATGCTGCTTCTCCTCAACGCTGGTAGCAAGGTGACTGTTCCCATGGGACAGCCAAAGTAGGGGCTCGGCCTGGGCCTCTGGCTGCCTCTTCTACTTTGTGTTTCTTTACCTGACTGTAGGTGCCTGAACAGCAATCCTGAGACCAACCTTCTGGAGGTGGCTAGCTTAGTGCCTTGGGAATTACTGCATTCTTTAGTCAGTGCCCACTATACTTTAGAAGAAAGCCCTGGCAACCACCCTAATACTTCTTGGAGAAGGTTAGCTCTAGCAGAAGGATAAGCCCAAACCCCTACCGTGTCTTGCCAGAAGACATAGACCTAGAGGAAATAGTTTGGATGTAGGGATTGGTGAAAACCACTCCAATTGGTATGGCTCTCCACCACTAGGATGCAAGTATGCAAAGGCTAACAAACCCAGAGAATGAGTGTTAACCTTTTCAGCATCCTTCTCAGATGGTACCATTAGGGTTAAATTCCTTACTTCCCTATTTTTCATTCCTACTTCCCTGCTCCTCATTCTTCCCTCCTTATTAGATAATTTAGAGAATATTTTCACTTTGCTAGTCTTATAGATAAAAGGTCATTTCCCAGTGGTATCATACTGGCTCTTTATGTCAACTCTATATAAATGTATATGCCTTTTAGGCCTTTGACTAGAGCATGGACACTTCCGTTCTTCTTCCCCCAGTGCCAGACCACCACAACGTTCCACACTCCACTCCCATGTGCATACCCACTACAGGCGTGGAGGTCACCCAATAAGATTGTCCCTGCTAACAGCTGCTTTCCTCCCCTTGTGAGTAGCAATAAAGCTTGTTAAGCAATATCTCTAGGGGCAAACGCTTTTCATCAAGACTCCCCTGCACCGTTACACAGTTCCAGATCCACATAACTTACTTTCATCTAGCTCTCAACACTATTTTGTCCACAATGACGGTGTGAAAGACATTTTCAGATATTTTTCTGAAGTCCATGTATACTACACCTACAGCAAGTCTCTGAGTAACCAGTCTAAGAACTCATTCACCAAAGGGAATTCAATTCAATTCAACAAACTTTTATTAAACTCCTACTATGTGCAGGGGATTCAAAGGCAAACATGAAAGTCTTTGGCTTCTAGTAGCTTTGAATCTCCTAAGGTTACCACATGGACACAAAGTAGGAAATACCAAGTCTATATACAACATACATGTAAAGTAATTTTAGGTGGGTCAGAAAGTACCAGTAACCGGATGCTGGCAGACAAGACATCTGATAAAAGATGGCACCAGATCTTGATAAACCCATACTAGTTGCTAGTAATTGTTTTCCTTTCTAGAGGCAGCTAGGTGATGCAGTAGATAGCTCATTGGGCCTGGAGTTAGGAAGATCTGAGTTCAAATCCATCTTCACACACTTGCCAACTGTATGACCTTAGGCAAGTCATGTAATCTCTGTTTGTCTCAGTTTCCTCAGCTGTAACATGGAGATAATAATAGCACTTACCTCACAGGGTTATTGTGAAAATCAAATGAGATAAATTTGCAAAGTACTTAACACAGGAAATTTTGCCATCAGTCCCTTTGGGTTAAGCTATTATTTACTTTTGAAATTTAAATACCTCTGGGAGTCATGTTTTCATTTTCTCTATTTCTTCACCCCACCATATCCAATTGCTTGCTCATTCCTATCAATTCTACCTCTGAAATATGGGTTATTCCAAATGTCAGTGCAGTTTTTAAGCTACTAAGGCTTAATTAAGCTTATTTAATCATTAAATTAATTATTTTATTCACAAAATCATATCAATACTTAAATAATAATCATTTAGGCTTTGGTAACTTAAAGATTACATTAAGCATGCCATCTTTCTTAAATTTCCTCAATTTTTAACTTAACTACTATATATCATTTCCTATCCTTATCACTTCTTACCTAGATTATTATAATAATTTTCCAGCTGGTCTTTCTCTTCCAGTCTCCCCCTCCCCCTTACATCTGTTCTTATACTGTTGACAAATTATTCTTCAGACCACCTTCCTCTCCTGTTCAAAAACTTTCTAGTAGTTCCATAATGTCGACCAAAGACTCATCAACTCCTTATTCTGGTTTTCAAAATGCCTTCCACTGTCTGGATTCTCCCTACTTCCTTATCTTACACTATTGCCTGTTACACACTCTACATTTCGGCCAAGATAGACTATTCGTCATGCCCTGTCTTTCTTCTTCCCTTTGTCATCTCTATACCTTTACTCACTCTATCCCCCTTAGCCAAAATGAACTTAAAAAAATTTCTACCACACTCTGCCTTTTCACAAAATCAATCAATAATAAACATTTATTAAGTACCTAGTATGTGCCAGGCACTGCGCTAAGCACTTTTTGCAAATATTATCTCATATGATGCTCACAACAATCCTAGGAGGTAGATACTATTGCTTATCCCCATTTTACAGATGAGGAAACTAAGGCAGATAGGTTAAGGGAATTGCCCAGGGTCCCACAACTCGTAAGTGTGTGAGGTTGGATTTGAGCATGTCTTCCTGACTCCAGGTCAGGAAGCTCAGGAGCTCTTCTCAGGGCTCTTCCTTTACAGAACTAACTGAGAGTTGGGCATTAAGAAGAAAAGTTTTGTGATGAGGTGAGAGAAAAGAGAGAGAATTTGGAATACAGCCCAGGAAGGACTGAACTGGATGGGTCCCTGTAGGAGCATATAGCTAGATAAGGGACAGTATGAAAACATTATACTTTGAAGGATGTGGGTGGAAATGGTGAAGAAAAGGGATAAAAAGAGAACAGGGGAAATATACAAAAAGAATTTGGGGGCAAAGGATGGACTTCTATATCTGAAATTTGCTGAAGGAAAGCACTGATAATATCCTTGAATCATTAAAATAGCAAAGTGACCACCTGTGCTTAAGAAGTCTGCTAGGGATTTGGGGGAAAGGGAGATTAGAAAGCATCACTTTGTCACTCATTTAGGTAAAATTTCCAACCTTATAAACCTTGAAGAATCATAAGTGGATAATTGGGCTATGTACCAAATGATACTAGAGGCTGATTTTTAAAGCAATTGTACAAGGACTTTTTACATACATCCTTTTGCATATCTCTTTCCAACCTTGTCAGCTTGGGAGGCTGTACACTTGTTCTAGTAATGCTATGTTGCTCAACATATTTTTGGAATTCCTCTCTGGGTATTGTACTAATAATGGTTGACATTTACATAGTGCCTTGAAGTTCACAAAGTGTTTTGCATACATTACCTCAGTTGATCAACATAAGTTGATGTTCTCAGGTAGATACATAGATGTTATCTCCATTTTACAGATGGGGAAACTGAGGTCAGAAACATTTAAATAACTTATCTGAGGCCACAAAACTGTTGTCCCAAGCAGCATACACTCCCAGCCTTTTCTGACTCTATGCGTAGGAGAATTAGTTTAAAAACTCCACAGGAAAAAGAAACTCACAGTCACAGAGCTTTGGGGCTCATTCTTCCAACCCCAACTCATAATGGCAGATCGGTTCCCCAGAGTGTGGCTTCTTTATCTCCTCCTGAGGATTTTAGGGATAATGGTGAGAGTTTAAGGTTTTCTGCCACTATTACCTGTGAGCCTCCATGCAGTATGTCTCCCCCTTCCGATACCATTTTTACCAG